GTGGTGCTCACCACTGGTGACATATAGTTAAGGTTGTGATAAATAGTAGCATCTGAAATAGATGGCTTCAAGTTTTTCGTTGCCTTGGAAATTGGGCCTTGTAAGGCTTTGCAAGTGCATTATGCTCGGTGCTATTAGGAAAGGAAGGATGACCAGAAGAGTTTCTTTGTAAAACTCAAACTTCTGCTAACCGATAGCCAACAGAATACTCTTAAAAAACAACTAAGAACTTAAAAATTTTAACATGACTTAACATGATAGCTATAACTGTAAGTTATCTAGGCTTAGCTTTTCTTCAGCTCCAAGCGTAAATTAAAAAATTTTTCAATAAAGAGACAGAATACCGTTTCTAAATTCTAAATCTTTTAATTGAGGGAACATGGTTTAAAGACAAGCAGAAATTAATAGAGTGGAAGAAAATGTACATACGCAGCAGTCTTCCATATCTAATGAAGTCTTGGAAAAGAGGATGGCCATTTGTATTACGGAGTATGGCTCAATGTGCAATTTTTCTGTGAATCATTCTGTATTGATCTAGCTGTTGAATTTTTGAGCCTTTCCAGTATATAGCAGTTCTGAGTAAGTTTCATACCTTATTTATCACATTTCAAGTCTAATTATGGGGAAACAGTTGTCTAATGGATTCAGCCACATCCAATGTAAGAGAGGCAGATGACATTCAGTAATTTTTACATTATAAAAATAAGGTACAAAATGGTATTGCGGAGTACTTCAAATTGCATGAAAGACGGTCTGAAAGCTATCCAAAAATTTGTTCCAGGAAGTCATTGAGCTTGTAAAAATAGCCTTAACTTTTCTAGGGTATACTTTGAAGCTGCAAACATTGGTCACCCTGAGACTGGCCGACATTTTTCAGCCACAAAAATGATCAGAGGGATGGAACACCTCTCCTGTGAGGAAAGGCTGAGAAATTTGGGGTTATTCAGCCTGGAGAAGAGAAGGCTTATTGCAGCCTTTCAGTACTTAAAGGGGGCTTATAAGAAAGATGGGGACAAACTTTTTAGCAGGGCCTGTTGTGACAGGACAAGGGGGAATGGTTTTAAACTAAAAGAGGGTAGGTTTAGGCTAGATATAAGGAAGAAATGTTCTACGATGAGAGTGGTGAAACACTGGCACAGGTTGCCCAGAGTGGTGGTAGATGCCCTATTCCTGGAAACATTCAAGGTCAGGTTGGACGGGGCTCTGAGCAACCTGATCGAGTTGAAGATGTCCCTGCTCACTGCAGGGGGGTTGGACTAGATGACTTTTAAAAGTCCCTTCCAATCTAAACTATTCTATGATTCTAATAAAGGAAAACACAGATCTTGTTTGATTTTTCAATCTAGCTAGTAATGTTGATATCTGGGGGAAAGATGGCAGATCCTCATTTGTTAAGACCCATGGGCTTTGTCTGTCTACCATTCTTGTCACTTGCCTCTAATTTCTTTCCGTTCAGGCAATCCGCATCATAAACTTTAACCTTTGTGTATTTGCTCAGTCTTCAAATCCACTTTCATGCTGTCCCATAAGCCTGGAATTTTCTCTTGCCCACAGCATCCATGCTTCCTTCCCCATTTCTTTTAAAACTCTTCTTGTGGGCACTTCTTCAAAGAGCTGCATGGTTATTAATAGCATTACATTATCTTTTAACCTTCCTGTGCTCTCAGGAAAACATTTGCCTTTGTTTCTTTTTTTTCCCCTCCATCTACTCAGATTTCTTTCTATTTTCTTTATCTTTGAAGAAGGAAACATTGTGCTAATTATGTTCATAAGTCACCTTAACTAGTAAAATGTCATACTGTCCTTAAGCGTCAAATACTGCAAAACTGGGGCTATCTGTAGCTATCTGTAGTACCAGCAAGTGTGGCCAATCTCTTGAACCTGTGATACTTAATAACAGTCTATGCCATGACAAAGCTGTGTGAGAAGTCTGATCACCATGAGAACATGTGTGGACACACACACATACACACATGTAAATCTATTCAATTTAAAACTGCAATCTCTCTCTGAAGTTATGCTTTCTTTCCTCTGGCCCAGTTTTCCATTATGTTTTTTCTTGATTAGAATTGCCAAGTATGAAAACAAGATGAATTTAGAAAGATAAATAGAAGCAAATACTGAACAAAGCTATTTAGCACAAAATGGAGACACACAGCCCATGTGGTTGCTGTTCAGCAGTGTAAAGTGTAGGTGCCCTACTGTCCCACTGTAATACATATTTAGGGTGCCATATGATCAGTCTACCCTGTTGAAAACATTGGGCTTAAAATCCTGTGATCAGATGCATGTTGGCAAACCACTGGTTTGACACTAAGCTCTTACTGGAGTTAGGGGGACACCCTTAGAGGTACAAATCTTCACCAGCACAGATCTTAATCACAGAGTGGCAGGGAAGACATGGCTTGGCCTAAGACATGATGCGAGAAAGACTTTGAGCTTTTAGGGTAGACACAATCCACAAGACTGAGTCAGAATATCACAGGGTAGCGTAAACCTGGTTTTGATAAGACTAACCCTTTGCTGGAACATCAAAGTCAATGAGTCTCCAAATGATGCAGTTCAGAGAACCAAACAAAGGAACCAGAAAATGGCTTTATTACAGATAATTTCAGTTTCAAATAAATGTAACATTTTATTAGCTTACTAATATCAGAAAATAAGCAGGCCGTTGGATGCGTGGAAATACATGCACACCATAACTAAATGACTTAATTTGAACTTCCATATCTCAGTTTGAAGAAGCAGCAAACATTTATTTGTAGTCTTCTGTTTTGATACGTTAATCTGTTATTCAGCAGCATTTGTGTGCACAGCTGCACAATAGCTTAGTGGGGATTCAGTGCATATTTAGAAATGTTTCCCTCAGACACAATTTAAAATAATACAAATGGGTAAGCTGTACTTGTGTATAGATACACAGCTATAGCTATATAGTAGACCTATAGATCTAGATACATAGATCTATAGATCTATATAGCAGTTATGCTTGTATATACATATATACATACATGGGTCGGGGGGAGAGAGAGGGAATGGGCACAAACTGAAACACAGGAGGGTCCCTCTGAACATCAGGAAACGCTTTTCTACCGTGAGGGTGATCGAGCACTGGCACAGGTTGCCCAGGGAGGTTGTGGGGTCTCCATTCTTGGAGATATGCAAAACTCATCCAGACATAGTCCTGGGCAACTGGGCAACCGGCTCTAGGTGGCCCTGCTTGAGCAGGGAGGTTGGACCAGATGACTTCCGGAGGTCCCTTTCAACCTCAACCATTCTGGAAGGTTATTTTCAGCATCTGCCATAGTAATATGACCCCTACTACCATTGTGTAAAAGCTTCACAAATTTTAATCCGGTTGTCCTTCTAGCATCCTGTGAGTTAGAATAAAAGGTTGGGCTAATTCTTTTTTGTAAAATGCATCAGCATCTTGTAAGTGGGGAGTGAAGGCTGAAAGAGAATTTTCAAGTGGGCCTGTTTAAGAGATGGCATTTGGGTCTTTGATTTCCTTGGCTTCTTTCAAAATCCCAACTTTAGTTGCATAGACTGTGGAGCCTAAGGTTATAAATCATATGCAGCAGAGAAAGAGAAGTGAATTTTGATCTCCAGGTCCCAGGTGAATACTCTGAGCTTCTAGAACTTTTCTGTTGCAAAGTAAAGCACAAACTTGTAAAATCTCTTCTTAAGTGTGATTTCAAAGTAGCTCACTTAAATAGTTACTATAGAAAACAAAAATCAGTAAGAGTAAGGACTCTGGAATGACATGTTACAGGAATGTGCACTGGAAGACTTATGCTAGCCAGTTTTATATGCCTATGTTCCTCTTCCTTGAGCCTTCCCTATTTTTTTCAGCCAGCTGTGCTATTCTCTGCCCAGTGTAATGCATTTTCTTCCAGGTGGGAGAATAAAGCACTGGATCTTTCTGTTACAGCTGAACTGTCAAACAAAAAATAATACACTTAAATGCAAATACATCGTTATGGTAAGGGTTGATTAAATTCATGTGATAGGACTGATTCCCTCCTCCCCCCCCCATTTTGATTTTAATTCAAGGATAGCATGAGTCAGCTAGACCTACAGCTAGTGAAAAATTGGAAGTTGTATTTGCAAAGGAAAAAAAAAAGATACTGCAGTTTTTCTGTTTTTCAGTAATAGAAATATTCTACTTACTGGTATTTTTTTTTGCCACAGGTTTTATCAATTTTATCTAAACGTTTTTTCAAAATTACAACAGAAACTTTTCATTTAAAGTATTTCAGCTAAAAGAAATACGAAACATAATTCAAAAGTTATACTGAAATTTATTTTGAAGAAATGAAACATTACATTGAGCAGATAAATTGGGAAATAGTAAACTAGGTCAGTGTAGTAGAGTTGCTTTGGCCTGGGCTGTAGACAGATAAAAGTATACATTAAAAATAGGAATTAGCTTGGAAAGCAACAGTGAAGCTTAAAAAAACAAACAGAAGTCGTCAGCATACCTGATATGTTCTTTAATTCTGCCATGTAAATCCAGTGCCAGAACTTACAGCTTTCAATTTCAGATTTCCTTTGGTCTGAGTGGGAGATTACCCAAATACAGATAATAGAACTCACCACAGAACAGTGTTTTTGAAGAGAGACAATTCTGGTACATAGTCAGAGTTTTCCTGGAGTTTTCCTGAAATTTTCAAAACGCTTCCAGTGAGAGTAACTCCTGAACAGTTCTAATGTCAAGTTCCTATTTTGATAGCAAAAACAGACAGCATGGACACCTTTCTAATTGCGATTATTTTAGTAAAGCTAAATTTGTGACCCATATTAACTGCAAATATAAGACTATTTTCACATGAAATAATATGTACCTTTTAAGTTAACTAGAAATCTCTCTGCCTTTTAGTGCTCATCATTTTGTTTTTTCCATGTGGGGCAGCTGTTGACTCACACTACAGTAGAAAGCACATTTTTAAGCGTTCTATCATGTAATACATTTGTACCTCTACATTTTTCTGCCCACTCAGAGACTATGAAGAAGATATTTCAAGAAAAGGGCATCTTGGCAGGAGAAGAAAGAGCTTTTAAACCACATCTGACCTTCATGAAGTTGTCAAAATCAACACAGCTACGTAAGCAGGTGAGCTCACATTTCACATAGCTCAGCAGCAATCTAGAAAGTTTAATGTGGAAATGAACAAAGGAGTTGCTTATGCTATAGCATCATACTTCCTACTTTGTAACCAGCTAAAGGGGTAAGACTTGAAAATACTGATTTTTTTTTTTTAGAAAAAATAATTAGTACTTCTACCATATAAACACTAGTCCTGTACTGTACTTTAAGTTACCACTCTTGATATTCTCAGTACAGTAATATCAAGGTCTATTTTCTTTTGTGAAACTATGCAAGACCAAAGGATGAAAGTACTTATGCAAAATTACAGAATTATTATTAGGATGTAGATTATATGCATGCAGTTTGTTTGGATAGTTTTGTTTTGTTACTGTATAAGAGAAAATAAGCAAACAGTGGAATTTGTATTTGGATTATGCATAATATGCAGACTGTCAGTTCCCTCTATTGAATATGCTTTGATGAATTTCAGAGTAGCGATGAAACAGATCTTTTATATTCTCTCTTGCAGGCACTTACTTGTTTCCTATTTATTAGCTTTTTTGACAAAATACACAAATACATAAAAGTAGGTTATAACTGTGATGATAAATATATAGAAGCAATATTAATATATCTAGTCTTTTTTATTTCATACGATTTAACAGTAATATTGTATTATTTAACGTAAGGTATATCTCCATAAAATTTTTTTGCTGACATTGTATAGAATGTTTTACGTGATCCTTTAACATTTTCATATGTTATATCATATCCTTTAACAATTTTCAGAAAAAAAATTTTTAAATAAGAATTAAAGTATGTAACATAAATATTTTAAGTAGATTTTTTTCCCTAAGAGTAAGCATTAAAGAAAAATATTTTAAAGTTTCATTAGAAATAACTCTAAAAATGCTGAAGGTGCATATTTTAATTAAGTAGTATTGTGAAATCAATTGGAAGAAGGCAGTGAGATTTGAGATATGTCAAGAAACTTAAAGGGCACACATACTCACTCTGAAACAGAAATAAGGGCTTGTCCACAGGTTGTAGGTGGTATATGATAGCTATTAAATTTGTAAGCTCACATAAGCTTTTGCTTGTATTAACAGTTGTTTTTTAAAACAGTCATTTTAAAAATCCACAGCTCTTCTACAGTATCAGCTGTTCAGTAATTTAACTGTTTGGTTAAAACATCTGAGACAATCCGGGTGAGGTTTTTGCCATTCTGTTTTTTGGTTGTTTTTTTGGCTGGTTGTTTGTTTTGTTTACATTTATCTACCTTGCATGAACTATTAGCCAGGATGCATACTTTCTGTGTTCTGATATTCACTGCTGCTGACAGAACCAGGTCAATGTCATTCCAAATCATCTTCCTTAGTCCTCCATAATGCTGGATAATGCATATGGTATTCTAAAGATACACTGTATAGAAAGATACTATGTATTAAAAATCTGTAAATTATTGTATCAGGAATTTGTCAATCCACTGTCAGGCATAAGCATCGGTCTTTACTATCATTTTTTGTTTCATTGTGTCTGTGCATTTAGTGAGATAGTTTCATGCATTTACTGAAAACAATGAATAAAAACACGAAACATAAAAGGAATAACTATTTTATAGTACGTTTTAATATAACGTTTAATTGCATTTTCAGATCATACAACAGTATGAAAAACAAGAAAGGGGGAGTGGATGAAGATTACATGAGAAAGCATATAAAAGAATAGAACTAAAGTAGTTGAGTATAGTTCACAGCTATAGCTTTATAACTATATTAATTTTTTTTAAATTAAGTTTCCTTATTTGAAGCAATACTCTGTTAAGCCACTCTCCTCATAATGACATCTAAATTCCACCAAAGTTATCTTTTGGGGGAAAAAAAAATCTGTTTTTCAAACCTTTAATATAGCTACAGGCATTTTTGAAATGCATATATTCTGAAAAGATTTTAACTTTTCCAAATTGTTGCTGATATTTACAAAGCAAAGAGTTTGAGAATTCAAAATTAATAAATATCATCAGAAATCAGCTTTCCACTTTGAAGGTACAGTATTAAGCTAAAAATGGTAAATGCAAAAAACTTGGAAACAGACATTAATAAAGCCTAAAAATGTGAGATAAAGTGGATTAGAAAAGAGCTATCTGCATTACTGGACCCCCTTTAGCTTTTCAGGTTAAAGAACTTATTTACCTACTCAGAAGTGGGAGCAACTTATTCTTTGTGGTTAGTTGGACAATTCTGAGATCAAATGTACCACTCAAAACTTCCCCAAAATAAGGAGGTACAGTGTGCCTCAGGCGGTACAGTGTGTGGAAGGAGATAAAGGGATATAATTTACTTGCACGTGTTTAGCTATTTCCACAACTGATTGTTCGAATGGTAAGAATCTTGGGTTAGTATCATTATCTTCTATGCAAAGAACCTAATGAAACACAATGAAAGAAGCAACTGGAGTTTTGAAGATAACATTTCTATTCCTGCTTCCCTCACTAGCCTGGTACGTTGTCACAGGTCAGTCACAGCCCCTCTGCTTTTCATTTGTCCAGACTGCTGTTAATTTCAGGGCGTGTTGTAAGGCACACTTGATAAATGCTATATGACGTTTGGAGATCCTTTGATACCTAGTGCTGCCAGAAATGTAAATACTGTGAAATGGATTTCATAAGTAGAAGATGACTGACAGCTAAATTGCTCTGATGACATCTGCTTAATTAGTAAGGAGTATATCTTTAGCCTAGACAGTGGTTGACAAGAAAAAATGCCAAAAATATAATTTATGAATATTTAATATATGATATTCTTCTGTACAGTATATCTTTAGAATGCTGTATGTATAATTAGTAAAAGAGAATACATTAGTGAGAAAAATACATTTGTATTTACAACACTTGCAAGTGTTGTACAAGGCCTGATTCACTGTTGCCATTCAGCTTCAATGGTAACATCGTCAAGATGCTAAATATTATTTTGCAGATAGTATTATTACGATTGCTTTGGAAATAGCAGTAACTGCATGATTCAGTAATTTATTCTTGTATTTTTTAATGTAAATTATGTTGAACTTTTGCCATATAGAGATAACATAAAGTACTTATTTTGTAATAGTAATAATGATGATGATAATAATAATAATAGTAATTCCTTCATCATAAAGGAGGAAATTCCACACTGAATCAAACCCAAAGCAGTGTCTCCAAATTAAAATCTTTTTGATGTGCACTCACATTCATCTTTTTGCTATCTTCAACTAGACATACCAGATAAGAGGTTTAATACTGATAATTATGAAGGTCATTATTTTTTTCTCATGTAAATTTTCTCTCAATTTATGTGACATTAATATTTTTGGCTTCTTGAAATCAAATATAGCTGAAGAGAGATGTAGTATACCTGCTGATGCCTTTTATTAGCCATACTGTAAGCAGTTACAGCAAGTTTTGGCAGTCAGACAATAAGCTATTTAATGTCTCTTCTGTCTTATTTAGATAAGCAATCTCAAGCACAAGGTTATTACTTCTATAGTACTTACATATCATGTCTCCTGCTTCATTAATCTGTTAAAGAATTTTTGTGGCATATGCATACATCAAATACTGTGTTCAGTAAAGATCCTCTGCATGACAAGAGAAGTGAAAGGGAGAATGAATCCTCCCCTTCTGGTATTATTCCTTTAATGTTAAGTTTACTCAATACTCAAAAATAGAATACAAAAATATGAATTTCTGTCTTACATCCCTAGTATAGTTTTCAATTTCCTAGATTTGCAATTTTGCTTTTATTTATACCCATACGACTCATAGTTGTACCATATAGAACCTTATGAAAAGAGTGATTCTCAGTAAAACCAAAGCACTTCCCCTGTTTATCAGTCCCCGCTGATTCTGACCTCCAACATTCTTTTTATAATAACTCCTGGGATCTCTGGCATTTTGGACAGAAATGCTGGTATAAGAAAAGCCGCAGAGCTCATTACATCCCTCTGTATTTCCATTTATCAGCCTCTGTGTCAGTGGTTTGGATTGTGACAACTGTTGCTTGCAGATACGGGAGTCTGAGGCACATACTTATTTGGAATCTTTGATGCTGATCCTAAAATGGCTGAAACGATCATTTTGGCACAATACAAAACAATAAACACTTTGCTTTCACAGTCTTATGAGACTAGCAGAAATGTTCGGTGATTTTTCTACAGTTTTTTTTAAAACTGAAGATCTAACAACAGGGGCAGAAAATGCACAAACTGGGTGACCCAACAGCTAGAAGAGGTTCTTGAATTCTCTTCTTTCAGTCTTCCTGCTTTCATATCATACACCATATTGCAGAGATAAGTAACTACAGTACTTGTTTTAAACAAGAAAGACATAACTATAGACAGTTTGTTACAAGCTAAAGGTAGTGTAAGGTGTTAGTCATAGTGATCATTTTTTAAATTACCAAACTCTCCTACTGAACATGGTAGATATGATGTAATCTATGCTTTTACACATACCCGAGTTACAGGACTGAGGCTGCAGAAGGCAGCACCTCTTTACGCATGAACTCTTCTAAGTCCACCTGGGGATCATCAAGGTCTAGGTGAAGAAACTTTTCCACAACAGACTTGCATTTTTCCATCCGATCTCCTTTTGAAGGATGATCAATACGTTTGATAGCTTTTCCATTGCGAATCAGTTCTGACACTTCCACTCCTCTTTCAATAATTTTGGCTGGCATTCCAATGTTGGCAGCATGACTAACAGTGGACATGCCCTGTTTGATCTGATAGAAAAATATCAACTCATCTCCATCTTGGTGGGTCTCCATGGTCAGGTACTCCAGAAGAGGTGTGTCAGGCAGGAGTTCTAGCTGCATTAAACTGTGAAAATTAGTGGAGACAAAGACCTGCGGACACTGTGTTCCTTGACTGATCCAGTACCTCAGGACAGCAGCCAGAAGGGACAGGCCGTCCAGTGTGTTGGTCCCTTTACCAAACTCATCAATAAGTACTAAGGACCTCTCTGTGGCATTGTTTACTGCCTTGGCAACCTGGTTAAGATCAATCATGAAAGTGGAGAGCCCTACAGAAACTGATTCCCTACTGTGGATTCTTGTGTAAATCCCATCAATTACTCCAATCTCTGCCTCTGCTGCAGGGACATAACTGCCGATTAGAGACATGAATACTATAAGACCTACTTGCTTTAAATAGACGCTCTTTCCAGATGAGTTGGGCCCTGTGATGATCTTTATTCGTCTGGTAGCCTCGCCACTGTTCACAGGATTGGCCACAAAAGTCTTTGCACATAGCTCCATGAGTGGATGTCTTCCATCCTTGATGTGGAAGCCATGGTGGTGAGTAAAGTGTGGCCGGCAATAGCCATTCTCCCGGGCCATCACTGCCAAAGCTAGTAGCACATCTAAGTGTGCAGTATACTCAATCACACTGTTAAGCACTTCAGACTTCTCCAAGATCTTTGTCTGCAGCTGGTGCATAATAAGTGTTTCCTGGTCTCTGATCTCACAGTGCAAGTCACCCAGCAGGCTGTCTAGCTCCTTAGTCCTAGCACTTCTGTAGTGCAGTTTATCCTCTGACAAGAACATGAAGTCCAAGCCTTCGATTTCAAAGTCACTTTTATCCACCATAGTTGGTAGCCGTGGAATGGAGAGAAGGAACCCAATCAAGGGTATGTAGATCACACAACAGGAGGGAATATGATTGTCCAAGGTCTCCAATTCTTTTCGTGCCACTTCTGTAAGGAAGTCTGACAGTCCCATCAGCTTTCGTTTCTTCTCGTCGATGGTGGGGTCCACATTGGGTCTAACAGTGAAGCGGTTCTCTGAGATGCTGCCTTCAAAGTCCACCACTTTGCTGATTAGACTAGCAATGTAGTGCAGATCATCAGTGAAGACACGCGAAATAGTCTGAAAGAGTTCAATAGTGTTGGGCAGAGAACGACATGTGTCTCTAAGGCACACTGCACTGTACACTGTCTTATAAAGTGCTTGCCAGTCACTAACTTTTGTGTGGGAAAGTGTCATTCTTTTTAGAATAAGAGGCACATTTTTAATATTCTTGAGGCAACCTTGAAGAGTGAGGACTGTTTCATGGTTCTGAGCCAGCAGGAAGAAGTGGATAACATCTAGCCGTTTGTTCAGCTCTGTCAAGTTCCGAGTAGGTCGTGTGAGCCACAGTCTCAGCAGTTTTGCTCCCCATTTGCACCTGCAACGGTTTAAAATTCCATATAAACTGAATCCTTCTTTTAATCCACTGGACAGCTTGTACACAGAAGGATGGATATCACTTTTAAATATCTGCAGGACACAGTAAGTGTCTTGGTCCATATTCACAATATCTGACAGCACAAACTTTTTAAAGGCCAAAATAGGAACTGCAATAGTGCTTTCTTCGAGCTCAACTCCAACTCTTCTCCTGTCTAGGAACTTAAGGAGTCCCCCTAGGGCTCGTATCATGAGTGGGCTCTCAAAAGGGATGATTGAGGACAAGTAGAGAATTTTCTCTGTTGCAGTCATATGAGATGGGATAAATGGAAATTGCCTAGATAGGATCCGTTGCTTGCTGACTTCTAGGCCAAAATCTATGTTAGGAAACAGGACAATTTCTGGTTTTCCTATATCTTTATCACCAGCAGTAGCTGTTAGGTTGGTCAGGAATTCGGCAATATTCTGGTCCTGTTTTGCACTGGTCACTATGCACT